AAATCCCGTTAGAGCCAATTCGCGTTGTCAAAACACACGTTATAGCAGAACTCACTGTACTGTACTGTGCACTACAATAGCCAAAAAACATATACCAATAACATAGACATTTCTTATATCTATCAAAACATATTCAGATTTGCCCCCGAGGGGGCTAGTTTATTGGGCACCCCCTTACATCCTGTGCAAGGTGAAGCGCAGAAGCGTTTACAGCGCCCAACAGGGAAGTATGAAAAGTTCATACTTGCCTTTATGACTCGTACATTAAGGGCGTAAAAGCCTGACGGGTCATAGGTTTTGCCAAGTTACATAAAGTGAGAGAATGATGAGTGTGTGGGGGGAAAGTTCCCGGTACATTTTATCTGTTTATGGCAAAGAGTGGCAGGTCCCTAATAATGTCAAATGCCAGGCCTGTGACTAGGAGGAGGGATATCTGGTCTGGGAGGGAAGAGGTGTTGGTAACGGCTGGGGACCTATAGGAGGAGGTCATAGGGCAAGTGAGGATGTAGTGAGAGAGGGTGTGAGAGTCGGGTTGGCCACAAAGTTTACAAACAGTGCGGTGAGGCTCAGGGTTGCCAATGTACTCCCATAGGTACCTGTACCCTAGGCGCAGTCTCATGTATATAAGCTGTTGAGATCGAGTCAGGGATTGATATTCTTTGTAGTGGCGGTTGTCGTCACCGGTTACAGAGTCATAGTGGCATAGTGTGATGCTACCCCTTTGTTTCAGGTGTGTCCAATTTTCATTGAATGCCTCTCGTTGTGTGGCGTGTATGCGAGATTTGAGATGATTCAGGGAGAGGGCGAGAGTGGCTTCAATATCTTCTTCTTGTGTAGCTTCTTTGGCAAGCCGATCAACAGTGTCACAGGCAGTTATTCCGATATGTGACGGGATCCAAAGAAACTTGACACGGATGTCATCATTTTGTTCTAGCCCGGCAACGGCGGCTAGGGTGTGTTGGGAGGCAGGGGAGGAGGGGGAGGGTAATTTGAGTCTCGCTAGCGCAGAAGTGCTGTCACTGATTATAAGGAGGTTCCGGCGTTCAGTGCAAGCATAGGTCGCCCCCTCATGAATGCCCGCGAGGATGGCTATGCTTTCAGCATCAGTGGAGGAGGCCCAGTCGTGGACCCTGATTTTCCTGCAGGCCTGGCGCTCAGGAATCCACGCAGCTGCCCCAGCGCTGCCCAGCGTGGTAACAGACCCATCACAGTAGACGAGGATAGGAGGGTAGGAGGTCTTTAGAGAGGAAGCGACATCATTAATCTGCTCAAGGCAGTTAAGTTTGAGCATATACCTCAGTTGGGTGGATTTACGACCAGGGAAGGTGTGGACGACAACATCAACACACGGGGAGGTCCACGGCAGTAGAGGCGGATGAGTGTACTCGGGAGGGAGAGAGGTCGAGGGGGTGTAGAGGTGATAACGCAGGATGTCAGCAGCAGTGTGGACGGGCCAGAGTTGAGAGGGAGGGGGGAAAGTAATGGGGACAGGCCGGCGCAGGAGGGTGTTAAGATGTGAGTTCAGTGAGCGCGACAGGGGAGTCGGAAGAAGTTTAACACCAAGGATGGCATCGAGAGCAGTAATTCGATCGCAGACGGGAAGCAGGATTAGTTCGCGCTGCATGACTTCTATTCTGGTGGTCATAGGGCAGCCGAGGATGAGTCTCATCGCTCTGTTTTGGATTTTCTCTATGCTTCAAAACATATTATGGGTATATAGTTACTGTACTGTATCATCATACTCCTGGCAGCACAATCTATTTTGTTTAAGAACACGTGATGCATGCGTGAGGGCGCCCGCTCTAAGGCCACTTACGTCTCGTTGTCTGAACGCTTTTTTTTTTTTTATCCCCATTATTTTCTTATTACTTTTATGGGCCACGGACGTATATGTGATCGGACGTTGTTCGGACGGACGTAAAGCGACGCATGACTATATATATACAGGTGCTCCTCGACTTACGAACGAGTTACGTTCCTGAGGCTTGTTGGTGAGGCCAGTTGTTTGTACGTCCAGCTTTACTCTTGTAGATACCAAACATGTTGTAAAAAATGAAAAGATTATGGATATTTGGTACAGCTATACCCTTTAATACAGCCTTAAAACCTGGTTCACTCTTCTCTTAGATAATGTTTGTTCTATCTGAAATTTTCTTCAAAATAATCCAGTCTCATCCACATTAGAAACCTGTTCTAGCAGGTAACCCCCCTCAGTGATGATGTTTGTACCTATCCTCTTGCTAAGGTAAGGTGAATGATGTTTATGATGATGCTGATGATTATGAAGTTGATGATGATGGTGATGCTTGGTGATGATGTTTCCTGCTCCTCACCCTAGTTTGGTGGGAGGAGAGAACTTGGGGGTTGTAAACATATTCAGAGAACAGGTTGAAAAGTGGAGGGCATTGGTGTGATGTAAAGGCAGTGGCAGGAGTAGCTGGAGTGGCAGGCACAAGGGTAGCTGGAATGACAGAAGATGCAGGGATGGCTGGAGTGACAAGATCGAGTTGGAGCTGGTGTTTTGGGAACTCTGGAAAGGAATAGCATGATGGGGAGCTGAGATCTCTGGCACTTTAGATCTTTTTAGATTTTGTTGAGTGGTAGTGCTCGGTCTAGAGATGGGTCTTATTCCAGAAGTGCTTCTGTTCCTTGCTTGAAGAATGTCAAAATTTTGTTCATTTTCTCTAATGTCCAGACGTTCTCTAAATCAACTGGACCAAAATCTTGTTCCTGATCTTCTTGCTCATCTTCTTTCAGTAAAAAAGCCAGTTCTTCATTTGTTAATGCTTCTCCACTGTTTCCAAGCAGCTCTTCTCTGATTTCTTCCGGTTGCATTTCACCAAATCCCTCCCCACCATCCTGTCTCGCCACTTGCACCATGCGTGTGATCTTGGGCTCCACTGAAGGGATGCCAGTGAAATCCTTCACTGCTTCAGACTATAGGGCCTTCCAACAGGAGTTCCCACACTTGCTAGTGATTTCATCATGGCTCAGTTTAACTTTTGCTATGCAGTCAGCATTGGTGTAATTTTTCCACATCTCCTTCACCCCACCTTGCCATCTTCTTCCAGTGCCTTGTAGATCTTGAAAAAACTGCAACTGAGGTAATATGACTTGAAAAGAGCTAGTATTCTTTGGTCAAGACACTAAATAAGAGAACTTGGGTTCTTTGGGAGGAAAACCACTTTAATGTTAGGGTTGGCATATTTGATGGTTTCTGCATACCCAGGACAGTTGTCAATGCAGAGGAGGGCCTTAGACTCCATGATCTTGCTGCACAGAAACTTCTCCACTTGTGTGATACAGTTGTGGAACCAACCTGTAAAAAGCTCAGCGTCCTGCACACCGCCCCGCAGACTCAGATTTTTGTTTTCTATGGCAATTCGTGAGTTTCCGAGGGACTCAGTTTTAAAACCGCGATATTTAAGGGAATAGTGTACTATACTGTAGTTCGAGGTCGCTAATGGGGAGTTGGTATACATTTACAATTTGATGAATAATTTAGCCATTTTAAGTTTTGAAGCTTGAAGTTTTAATGCTGTACTGTAATTGCAGCCATAGTGAGCATTTGAATGAGTACAAAATGGATATTTTACTATCAACAGATATAAAATTTGTGAGTTTCTACAACTACAGTGGGGTATGCTATAACGAACGTAATTGGTTCCAGAACCTCGTTCGTTATAGGATTAATCCGTTCCAGGCCCCCAAATACAACCGCTTAACACTGAAAAAATTCTGTGGAAAATGTAAAAAATACGGTACTTTATCTTACCTTAGTGTTATTCAGCATGCAGGTACCCCTAAACACTGGCACAGCACTATCACTTCCACTGGGAGTCTTGGCTTTAAGGTCCTCAAACAATTGTTTAGCCTTCTCACAAATTATAGCTTCACTAATGTTACCACCTGCCATTTCTTTCTCCTTTATCCACACTAAGAGTAAATTTTCCATCTCTTCAATCACATTACACCTTGCTTTGCTAAGTCTAAAGATTCCCTTAGCCACTTGCACAGTTTTTAACTCCTCTTTATTCTTCAAAATCGTACATATAGTCGATTTAGCCATCCCATATTCATCACTAAGTTTCGCAATTCTTCTTCCATTCTCACGTTTCTTTATAATTTCTTTCTTAGTTTCAAGGGTTATTAGCTTTCTCACTTGCTTTGGACGACTCATTGTTACAATTGTATACTTGTATAACAAAATAGTTATACAAATAACGCGAATTTCCACATCAAAAGACGAAATTTCAACAATAACAGTGGTGCACTGGCTACACAATGAGACAAAGATGGCGCCTGACGCTCTTGTTGTGGGTCGCGGTACAACAATATTCATGCGCCAGGCGAAATAGTCCGGTATTCATCCGCGTTCGTTGTAGGAGTTGCGTTCGTTATAGCATTCTCAATTTTATAGGTAAAACCGTTCGTTATAGGAATATTCGTAGTAGGATCTGTTCGTTATAGCGTACCCCACTGTACAGTCCCTGTATAACATCATGACATCCCTACCAAAACAGATTAAAAATATAGTTCAATGATAATTGTTCCTTGATGAAGAAAAACCATAGGGGCACACTTAATCAAAGGTAAGGTAATTTAGTATACAGTATAATGCAGAGTAAGATTAGATAGCACTGATGAGGAGTCTGCCATTGCTTCAATTTCTTTTCTTATAGATATTCCCTGCTAAGTTAGAAGTACATCTTCCATGGCGGTTCACTTAATGTGTCAGGCAATACGGTACCTAATTTCTCCCACTCTATTTAATAGAAAATAAACATGAAAAAAAAAACTGGGCAAAAACTGTGATGGTAATTAACAGTGCCATAGAGGAGTGCTTGATTGCTTGCTGGATTCTTTTGATTAGTATGTTAAAAGGTCACACAATGTCTAGAAAGAAGTGATAATAAATTATAAAAGAATCAAAGTTATTTGTTCTGTGCAGTTATATCGAACTTGTAGAAATTTTACTTATGTGTTTAATTATTTTTCAGGCATGTGTGAAACTACATGGCGTGAGGACATGGAGCCTGAGGATCTGTTTGAGTGCATTAGTCAATCCCTTGTTAATGCTTTTGATCGTGATGCTCTCTCAGGTTGGGGAGCTGTCGTTCATATTGTGTAAGTTTTATTTATTGTTAAAATATTTCTTAGGTCTTTACGCAGGTTTGAAATGAGATTAGGTTCCTGAAAAACACATCACTAAGTGAAATATTGTAGATAAGGAGCATTATAACATGGGTTTCAATGGAATACACTCCAAGACAGTCCCCAAACACACATATATCACAGACAAGAAAAATCTTAATCTTAAAAATTAATAGAAAACAATTCAACAACATTAAGTAGGAGACAGCTATCAAACAGAGAAGTACTACTGCCTGGGAAGATATTGGAAGCATAATCTGCTGTCTAATGGTAGTCCCTGCTGCTATATGGCATCACAAAAATTGTGACCAAGTCCCAGGTATCTGATCTGACTTTCTGCCTCATTTACACACAATTGCAGGGTTTCAGTTGTTTCTCTTACTATTGACAACACAACTTACATACTGTTATTTCTCACTCTTGATTTATTTATTTATTTATTGATTGATTGTTATTATTATTATTATTAGTAGTAGTAGTGGTATAATTTTTATTTATTTTATTAGTATTGTTGTTGTTGTTATTATTATTATTATTATTATTATTATTATTATTATTATTATTATTATTATTATTATTATATTTTTGCCCTCCAAGCCCCGATGTGGGTCAGTGACCTGTACCCGGGTGAGCTAAGCCCCGTAAAAAAAAAAAAATCACATATTGAAGAATAAGCCTGGTCATCATCACATGTCCCCTTCGAGGCTAAGGGAACTCTTTGTTGGTGGAAACATCACTCTGACTCCCACACAGCCTCTGGGAAATCTCATGCTGCTTAACAATGTTAAGCTTCACCTCAGAGACACGGTTGTTTTGGATGCCTTGGCCTTCACAGACATTTTCAAAGTTACACTGCTCACTTCACAGTCACAAAAACAGAGCAAAAGCACTTGTCACAAAAACAAGCGAACGATGATAACAAAAACAATGATACCAGCCGACACTGTTCACATATTTTCGCAACAACAGAGACAAAGCGCTTTACAGTCACAAAGCAATGGAAAATATCACTTTACAGTCACCATAATACAGTTCAATCTAAATGTTAGTGCTGTCTTACTCTAAAAAAACACCGCTGATAAGTACATTGTATATACAGCCAATGATATTGAACGATAATCATGGAGCTACGTGATGACGGGGAGATGCGATTGACACTGTACCAAGCTCAGGACTGAATTGCGCAAGTTGGCTGTGTGGCTGCACACGGGTAGATATTATCGTGGCTAACAAGTGCATCCCGAAGAGGAGTGACCATTTTAATCCCTCTAACTATTGCCCCATTGCCTTAACTTCATCCCTCTTAAAGATTTTCGAAACTATCTTAAACTTTCATTTTCTCTGTCAGCTTGAATGCCTTTCTCTTTTTCGGATCACCAGTATGGCTTTCGCCAGGCGAGATCTACTGGTGATCTGCTCTCCTATCTTTGGTCATCCTCTCTTAAGGATTATGGGAAAACTTTCGGCGTGGCTCTCGACATCTCCAAAACATTTGCTTTCTAAACTTCCCTCTTATGGTTTCTCTCCCCCACTTTGTTCTTTAATTTCTAGCTTCCTAGTTGTTTTGTTCTTTCACCTACCCTCTTCCTTCTTTTCTTTTTATCAATGATTTACTTCAGACTACTACAAATTCTATCCATTCTTACACTGATGATTCTACTCTTCACTCTTCTTCACATTTTCCCTTCCCCCTAATTCTCAAACTAGATCTGTTTCTCGAGCTGATATCATTTCATCTATCAATGCGGATCTATACAGCATCTCCGAATGGGGAGATAGAAACTTGGTTAAATTCAATAGTTATAAAACACAGTTTTTACCATTTACACTTTTCAAAATAGAAAGTCTCCCACCAATCAAATTTCAGGATGCAATCATTCTGCCAAATTCTAGAATAGATATGCTTGGCCTCACCATTTCCTCTAATATATCATGGAAGCCACACATCCACAACATTGCTAAAGCTGCTTCCCGAAAGCTGGGAATGCTGTACAGATGCAGTATTTACTTCACTCCTGAGCAGTTGCTTCAAGTTTATAAGGGATTCATTCGTCCTAACTTGGAGTACTGCTCTCATATCTGGGGTGGCTCTTCTTCTGTCCAACTGTTAGGTAGGGTGGAATCAAAGGCATTTCGTCTTATTAACTCTCCTCCTTTAGTTGATAATCTCTCTTCCCTTTCTCTTCACCGCAATGTTTCTTCACTCTCTCTCTTTTACAGGTACTTTAACGGTCAATATTTGGTGGATTTGGCATTCTGTGTCCCGCCAAATAACCCGTTATCGTACATCCTTCTTTCCTCACAGCCAAACTGTGGAATTGCTCTGCCTTCTTCTATGTTTCCATCCTCTTACAATCTGTCTCACTTCAAAAAGATGGTTTTCTGGCATCTTCGTTTTGTAATTTAATATAATATTTTTCTCTTCTATTTTTAATTTCTTTTTACTCTTAATTTTTCTCCCCCTAGGCCCATTTGTGGGTCAAGGTCAATGACCTGTGCCCGGGTGAGCTATTCCCCATAAAAAAAAATATATAAATAAAAAAAAAATAGCGAGACGGTCTTAATTCATGACCATCGTTAAAGCGGAGTATCGCTGAACGAGACATCATATATCGAAGTTTACCTGTATTAAGTTACTATAGTTAGGGAGCCAGTGACCCATATCACGATAAAAAGGGTCAGACCTTGACCCATCGAATATAAGAGTTTTGAATGTTCTCATGAAAGATGAACCCTTCCTACATAAGAAACACAATGTTGGATAGCATAAAACTGTTGCGGCTATACCCTCTGGCTTTCAAATCCTGTGCGGGAAAGGTGCCCTTAAGCCGGCATTGCCTCACCCACCACAAGGCACCATGGCTGTCTGATTTTGGTTTAATTACATAAATATGTTCTTGCTTTTATGTATTTTACTAACTTTCGTACATAGTAGTATAGTATCTATAAGGAAGCAAAGTGTAACAAAAATCTACCGGGAAGAATCAGAGGTCACCTGTGCCTTATGTTTTGTTCAAGGAAGCATTTGCTCATGAATGGGCACAGTATCCATCATCCTTGTTTCTACCAAGTTGTGAAGATGATCATCAATATGTTATGCGAGGTGGTATCAAAAGTTATTTCTTGCACCCCTTCCTACAACAAGGAGATAATATTCAACAACCAATTACACCTATTCCCCCATTAACGTCCTTGTTAGGTTCCTGAACACCATGACTTTAAATGAAACAACATTAAGTGAAGACGATCTTACCTTAGATAATGATATAAATAGGGGTTATGTTCCTTGGATACATTTCTGGTCAAAATTTTCTCACAACTTCCCACAAATGTTTCACTTTCAGCACAATTACCTTCTTGTTTTAAAGTTTCAAATAAGCTTAAAGTTTTTGCCTGTATGGAGAGCAACGAACATGGAGTTTTGTTAATGATGATCCTTGATCCACATGTTCAGCATTCTTTCCATATTTTCCATAATGTCACTTCTGTTATGAGTTAACTTTGTAGCAAATAATGGAGTAACACTTATAGCACATGATTTGATATTTTCTGCATTTCCACAAATTGTTCTTATCTACAGTTGTAGGCTGCAAACAAACAGCTCTTGCTATGCCCACAGGTCGCTGTCTCTCTTCAAATCTCTTTATCACATCTAATTTAACTTCTTATGTAACACCTTTCCTCTTTCTGTGACCACAAACAGTAGTGGTGCACAATGCACACTTAGCACTCATTGTTCCAAGGCTTAAATAAATTTATAATTGGATTTTAAGTGAATGTTGGAAGAGCATCAACCAACCAAACACTAACAAACAAATATGGCACCCACACTTACACAGCCAGCTGTTATCACATCATTCCTTCATACATTTTTTTTCAACTACATTATAATGAAACAATGTTGACTGAAACAATGTTAATGGGGGAATTGGTGTACCTTGCCAGAATCAGATCTTCCAACCTTGTTCCTGATTGACGCTATGGCTTTCATCCACCGATGCCAGACTCTAGGTGCAAAAACCTTTGCAGTGCTGATGATGCAGTTTTGTCAGAAAACTCTCCAGTTGAAACCAGTTAACTGTTGTCATATCCACCTTGTTGGAGACAGATATGACTTTGATGTCACATCAGGTCTCAAATTATATGAAAGTAAATGTATAGGAATATATCCCATCTGATTATCTGGATATTCCTGAATGGAAATCATTCCTAAACAATCCCTATAACAAAGCAAACCTGTTACAATTCATGGTGACACAAACATTTCTGATGGCATTAGAGTCACGTTTGGTGGAACAGACGGTGACCATGGGAGGACAGTTTCCAACTCAAATGCAGAAACCTTGATTGTGGATGAATTTAGTGACTGAATCATTAAGAAGCAAACACATGACTATTTGCACACATTGCAGACAGCTGTAGAACACATGGCTCCAGGCATATTGTGGTTCATGTAAATAATACTGATATACAGTGATATCCCCATTAGCTGGAACAATTGGTGCAGAACACTTCCGGGAATGAGAGATTTCCGGGTAATGAGACGATTCTCTTAAAGTCGGAAAAAATCCCTCATACCCGGAATTTTCCTGATTTTTCCGGGTAACGGAAAAATTATCTCGGAAGTTCCCAGAAATTGCCCATTACATCATTTCTCGAACTCGTAAAAATATCCCTCATCTCCGGAATTTTCTGGGTAACGGAAAAAATTTCTCGGGATTTTCAGAAAATGCACCTGACTTTCATCTATCAAGCCCGAAAAAAATTCCCCATCCCCAGAATTTTCCGGATATCGGAAATATTTTCTTGGAATTTTCCGGAAAATGTGCCCCTCGGAAAAATTTTCCCAAAGCTCGAATTTTCCGGAAAATTCCGGCTTTGGGAACAATTTTCCAAGAAAATTTTAATTCCGGCTTTCGGAGAGTTCCGGGTTTGAGGGATTGCGGCTAACATAGATTCATATCTAAGACCCT